CTACATCACAGCAACAATGTGCAAGTGACAGTTTAGTAGAAAGGGTTGTTCAAGCGTTACATCGTCTACTGTACTGCTGTTGATGAATTACATATTCTACTGTTGTGCATTCATGAGTTAGATCGTTTATTATATTTTCAACATTTAAAGATGTTTACGCTAAAGTTCTTTGAGAAGTGAAATAGATTGTGTAACATTTCTCTTGCCTCCATCTAGCTTTGTTTTTGGTGGAAACACCTGCCCAGCCCCTCTTTTGATTCCTATGGGTCCAATGGTCATAATGGGGATTTCATTTTCTGGGGTCTGGTCAGGACTGGAAATACTAGTTGATGAAACTTTACAGTCTCCTGACAAAACGAGATGAAAAAATTAATTATTAGCTTGTATTATATGAAAATAATCAAGTGAAAATTTGTCTCATACAAGTAAATTCCACCTTGTATTAAAAGCAGTTATACCATTCCTTTCATTAAGTTTACATCGTATGGTCTTACTTCTAGTTAACAGTAAATATTCAATCAGTGCTCAAAATGAAGGGGGGAGACCAAATACAACACAAATCTTAGGAAGAAACTGCACATTGTTGCTGCGATGTAGAATAACGTACCTTTCTACTAAACCGTCACTTGCACATTGTTGCTGCTATATGGAATAACGTACCTTTCTACTAAACTGTCACTTGCACATTGTTGCTGCGATGTAGAATAACGTAAGTAGAGTAGACTATGTAACTCTGGAACAACAGAATAATTGATTATGTAACTCTGGAACAACAGTACAGTAGACGATGTAACTCTTGAACAACAGTAGAGTAGACTATGTAACTCTGGAACAACAGTACAGTAGACGATGTAACTCTTGAACAACAGTAGAGTAGACTATGTAACTTTGGAACAACAGAATAATTGATTATGTAACTCTTGAACAACAGAACAGTAGACCATGTAACTGTTCCACAACGCTTCTGAAGACTATGATGTAGCTTTAAAGAATTGTACAATAATGATGTTGTAACTTTAAATAATAGTACAATTATGATGTTGTAGCTTTAAAGAATTGTACAATAATGATGTTGTAACTTTAAATAATAGTACAATTATGATGTTGTAGCTTTAAAGAATTGTACAATAATGATGTTGTAACTTTAAA